TATTCTAGTTCCACAGGAGAGCTCGACTACAAAGAATGGCAACTGGACCTAAGGACATGATGTTAGTGATGTTAGGCCCAAAGTGAAAGACGAGTTGTGAAAATAAATGGGCAATTGAATAATAGGTTTTTAAGGCCAAAGCTTTGTAACACATTTGTTGTTGTTGTTTTAATTCAGAATGCCAAATTCACAAGGTCAAGTGCCCATTGTCGATTCCCTTAGGTCATAGGACGGCCAGATGTGGTTTGTCTAGGAAGCAACTGTGAAGATACCAGACAGAAACTGCACATTTGGTATTTTTTCTTAAACCATGTGGTAACTCCTACAGTAAACTGAGTCCCTTTGTTTCCTTAAAAAGCTATTTCTAGATTAATCGGGATTTAACTCCGTATCAGGTGAATGGATCTTTGGTGTGTTAGAAAGCGAGGCTTTTGTCTGTCTATGGTTCTCCTTAAAGGTAACTTGTTTCTGACTTGGCTTCTTCTGTATTCTTTTCATTCTCAGACTGGATGTTGAGGATTTGATGCAAGCTCTTGGTGACGTAGAAATGGCTGGGGAGAAATGGCTGGGGAATTTCTGTGAGTTGTCATTTACCTGAATGGAGCTTCAGCCCTGTCCATCTGCATGCAGACTAGGAATGGATACTGGGAGAACTGCACTGTTGAGATGAATTCCAGGCCCGCCTCTGTCTCTGCCCTGCTTTCCAGGCCAGCTTTCACAAAAGAAGAGTCCACTGTGACATCGCTGCTTATTACCACAGCCACTCTGGAATTTTTGAAAAACATTAATAAGAGTATTGTCACATTTAACTGAGCAGGACTAACAGAACTTCACCAAGTCTCATCTCATGGCACCAGTAGACTAAGAGGAAACACTTAAAAATGGAGATGTGACCTCAATACACATAAAGCCTTGCTGAAAGCAGGACGTGGTGGTGCCAAAGGATATCCACCAAAGGGTTGCTCTTTCCCTGGGCATCCCTTGCCTCGAATTTTGGACACAGGGCCTAAATGCATAACACATATAATGCTGTTTGGGATGTGTGTACCAAGGACCAACATGAAACATGCCCAGAGCCCAGAAACACCCACATTTTCTTAAAGAGAAGTGTGAACACATCAAGAATACAACTGACATAAATTTATGATTTTCTTGTCAACTATCTCTGTTGGCTTCATGTTAGCTATTTCAGTTTCATTTCATTGCTTCTCAAAGGTTCACTAAAGGCATGTATATGGTTGCCGAGATACCTGAGGGAGTGCTGTGTGACCAAAAGCCATTCCTGAAGTGGGATACATACATAGGATGGGTTTAGCAGAGGTCACTTACAACCAGACAGGCTGGATGACCAGGGCATATGGCTTGGATGATAGGAAGTTAAAAAAAAAAAAAAACTAGTACAACTTTGGATTTCTTTAAGCAATGGTAAACTTCAACTAAATGGTGGAAACTTATGCTCAGAATAAAATCAAATAACTTTGGATTTCTTTAAGCAACGGTAAACTTCAACTAAATGGTGGAAACTTATGCTCAGAATAAAATCAAATTTACATGTCCATAGGGCATATGGCTTGAATGATAGGAAGTAAAAAAAAAAAAAAAAAAAAAAAAAAAAAAAAAAAAAAAAAACTTTCAAATTTTACACCCCTTTTGATTCACTGACTCAAAAAACACTAGGACAGGACAGGCAGTGGTGGTGCACGCCTTTAATCCCAGCACTCCGGTGGCAGAGGCAGGCAGATCTCTGTGAGTTCGAGACCAATCTGGTCTACAAGAGCTAGTTCCAGGACAGCCTCCAAAGGGTTTCCCCAGGGAAACCCTGTCTCGAAAAACCAAAAAAAAAAAAAAACACTAGGACATTAAATTTGGCCTTTGTCACTCCATCAACTCCAGACATGTGCAAAAAAATCCAAACGCTAGAGAGCTTAACGGAAATAAATACATTTCAGCTCATCCAAGTAGCCCAAAAAGTTTACAATAACCAAGACACACAAAGGTAGAGGCAAGCAGCCTTAGCTGCTAGCCTAGCAACACACAGGCAAAGATGCTTCCCAGTCATCTCCTCTGAGCCATCTCTCCAGCCCGCTGGGTGCTATTTTTAAAGAGCAGGCTTAGCAAGTCAGTCAGCAGCACCCCTTTTGCCCTCTGTTCTTCTGTGAGTTCCTTCATCCACTCCCCTCAGGATGGACTACAAGCTGTCTTTCACTACAAGATGCAATAAACCCTCTCCTCCCCAACCTGGCTCTGGTCACGGTGTTTTACAGCAGTGTAAAACCCTGAGGAAGACAACTGTCAACTACTAAAGTGAAGTATGAAGAGAATGAGCCTCTGTCAAGATATGCATTGTCTGTGGAAGCAGAGAGATCCTCCGTGCTCAGACCAACCTGTTTCTAAGATGCTATCAATGTAATGGATTTCCACGATCATTTCCAACCCACGCTCACAATTGAAAACAAAAAAAGCACAGATTTGGAAAAGTCTGAAGGCTAGACAGCACCCCAGACATAGTCCTGCATTTCTTTGCGTTGTGCTCACCGATTTTTCACCCGGGTTTTGGACTCACGATACCACAGACTGAATTCCATTGAACCCGAAATATCGATAGCCAGACCACCCTGGATCTCCATATTAGCCTTTAGTCCAGATTGCAGCTGAATATCCTAGAAGCAAAAAATACAGTAATAAGCACAGATTAGTTAATGTCTCTCACAGAGACACACTTGACTTCCTGCTGTATGATGAACACTGAACCTGTGCTGCTGGAGGGCTTTGAAACCGATGCTCACTTGTTTGTTTCAGTGCAAGCCCAGGACCTCTCCCCCAGTAGGCTAGTGTTCTGCCCCCAAACTGTACCCCCAGTGAAGAAGGCTTGGAAATATGTTATCCTAATCTTGGTCACCAAAAGAAGGCATTGCTAATTTGCTAAATAAGTTGGTTAAAATAGTAGAGGCTTGGAGAATCAATTGAGAAGGCTGTTTTCCTTCAATCATTGCCTCTCTTTGGGAGGGGTGATTCATTTTCAATGTGTGGCTTCCAGCAGAGAGTCAGCACTATAGGAACAGTTTCAAAATGCACTTTCTCAGGTACCCCACACTTCTGATTTAGAGGTGCAGCCCAAGAACCTCCTTCTAAGATGCCTTCATGTGATTCTGACACAACTAAATTTGAGAACCACTGGACCAGGAAGATGATGGTATTTCTGTCAGAAGCCCAGTCATGCCTTTTTTGGAAACATGAAGATTGGACAAATGATCTCTTCAAGATCTTAAGCACGTCTCTGGTTTTGTGTCGGGGCAAACATAGGCAACTACATCTTCAGGCAAACAAAAAGGCAGGATGGAAATTCCCAGGGCAGTATTCAAGTTCCTGGAACTGCCTAGGTCAAGCTAGAAAAGGAAGGAAAGGCAACTGAACTAAGCTTCTGCACCCTGCTGCTTGACCCTTGAAAGGACTCCAAAGGATGGTCAAGTCAAGCATGAACTCAACTGCATTTCCCAAAGGCATGGTGGCCACTTAAAAAGAAAGTCCACCCCAGATGGTTTTCTTACTGTCTGAAGCCCACTGCTTGGTGTTGTTTGCCCGTGTTTAGACATTAACCCTCACGAGTTCCCTGCACATTGAGTGGGGTGATACTGGCTGAAGACATTTTGTGCTGGACTGAAATCAGGTGGTCTGAGGCAGTGCTGAATGTGATAATGATTCCGGGAATGCAGCTCTGAGCCCTTCACTTTGGCATTCCTCCAAAGATATTAAGAGTTCCTGGCAGCAAAGAGCATGACTAGCTTCTTTGTGTGGCTGCCATAAGCGAGCCAAAAAGGCCATGCATCTGCCAGGTACAAATACCATGACTGCACTTTTTAGAAAGGACTGTGCTATTCTCTCTGAATTGCAAACAAACAGAAATACCAAACATGGCAGGAAACCTCAGAGAACGGGTTCACACCCAAGCAGAATAAGAACAGGTTCACACCCAAGCAGAATAAGAAGGTTTGACCTTGATATGAAAGTGCCTGATATGAAGGATGCCCTTGAGTGCTCTGTGCCAGGGCTGGGACACATGAGGAGACATTCCTAAAGATGCTTAAAACCATATTTACTCTAGGACAAAACTGTGGCTGACATAGGATACAGGGGCTATGCCATGCTTCATAACTAGTGTAAAGAATCACAACCTGTCCTGTAAAACCCACAACAATCGTGCCCAAATATGTGCTTAAACCTATGACAAACATGGACAACACCGGAGGTCTGTTGCACACTGTCCATGCCTGTTGCCAGGTAACTCCTCTAGGGTCCTGCCCCAGGAATTCTTTCTTGGCATAATCTTTGTTTTCTTGACTTGTTAATCCATTTGGTCCAGTGGGACCCTAAGATGTAGATCCCAGCCTTCTCATGGGCTGTGCATTAGCTGGATGTCTTAGCATCCAGGCCACAGAAAAAAAGAGCATTTCACAGTTATTGGCCAAATTGTCTGTGTGAGAAGAGCAACTTCACTGCAAGGGGTTTGGAGAAACAGTTTGGCGAAGAAAGAAGGAATTGTACTAGATGGACCTATGAGCACAAACCAACATGCCCATTAGAAGGAAGAAGGAATTGTACTAGATGGACCTATGAGCACAAACCAACATGCCCATCCCCCACCCCACCCCTGCCTCTGTGACTAGACCATACAGGGCAGTGCTTCTGTCTCTGTAGGAAAATTAAATGAGTGGAACTAACAGATCTTGAGCACCTCTACGCCCAAAGCCTTACACTTAAAACATCATATTCATCTAACTGAGCCATTGTATTTCTTCATTGATAGGAAAACAGTGGCTCAGAGGCCACACTGAGAGCACTACCCACTTGGAGCATTACCCAGATCGTGTAGAAGGACAGTATTTTTCAGCTACTGTTTGCAGCTGTCACATAGTTACAACTCTTTGTCTCACAGTCTGTAAGAAAGTCTATTCTGAGGAATATTGCAAAGAAGATACAGCATAAACTTAAGTCCTCAACTGGCCCCAAGATTTTATTTAATGTTTTGTCTATGGACTAGAGGAAAAGGGTGCCAGAACTTTGGATTTGTGGCTGATGTGATCCCTTTGCTTTTTAATTATGACCTGCAAGGTATCGTTTATAGAATAGACACTGACATTTTTGACAGCTCATAGCATTGCTTCTATTTAAGAAAATATCTGATTTCTTTGTTAAAGAGATTTCTCTTTCTCAGAAACCTGTCTCTGAAATGTAATCCCATGACAGACACAGAGATAGAGACAGACAGACACACACACAAAGAGAGACAGACACACACACAAAGAGAGACAGACACACACACAAAGAGAGAGAGACACACATACAAAGAGAGAGACAGAGACACACAGAGACAGAGACAAGAGACAGACGGACACACATACACAGACAGACAGACAGACAGACAGACAGACACAGAGAAAGACACAGACACACAGAGAGAGACAGAGACAGACAGACATACGCACAGAGAGAAATAAAAACAGACACACATACACACACAGAGTGACAGACAGACACAACACAAACACACACAGATAGAGACACGGAGAGAGACACAGAAACACAGACACAGAACAGAAGGAAAAGAAAGGGAGAGAGGGAGAGAGTAACAGAGAGGGAGAGAGGGAGTAACTCTATCTGCCCTGGTGGCTGTGACAGGCTGCCAGCTGCCAATGTTTCCTTCAATGTCAGCACTTGACCTGGAGTGGTATGTGCTTCTGAAGCCGGAGTGGCATCACTGGAGTGTTCTGCAGAGCTGGGCCTCAGCAGCTCATTTGTGAAATAACCTCAAATCTGCCGTATACTTCAACCAGACACACATGGACACTGGTTAAGTTTAACAGTGAAGGGACAATCTCTCATAGACCACACCTTGCCTAGGGTGAGGTATCTTTTTTTGTTGTTGTTGTTTTTCGAGACAGGGTTTCTCTGTGGTTGTGGAGGCTGTTCTGGAACTAGCTCTTGTAGAGCAGGCTGGTCTCGAACTCACAGATGCATTTAATCCCAGCACTCGGGAGGCAGAGGCAGGGTGAGGTATCTTAGGAAATAGGAAATCCATACCAGAAAATTTAAGTCAAGAATTAACAAACTACAGCCTGCAGGAACGCCTTTAATCCCAGCACTCGGGAGGCAGAGGCAGGGTGAGGTATCTTAACGAATAGGAAAACCATACCAGAAAATTTAAGTCAAGAATTAACAAACTACAGCCTGCAGGAAATTCTGCTCCACTGGCTGTTTTTGTAAATAAAATTTTATTGGAACACAGTTCTACTCCCTTAATATACCACTGATGGCTGTTTTCACTCTGAACTAAGGCTACATAGGTGTATGGAGGCCAGCTGGCTCTTGAAGCCTGACATTTTCTCTCTCTGCCCTTTGTGCGTCTGCCAGCACTGAGGGTTTGTTAATGTATGACTTGAGGGTTGGGGAGTATGAGTGGCACCTCTACTTTTCCTCTTCATTCACACGAAGAAGAACATGCTTTTCTTCAAAGTGCACCTACACCCAGTGCAAAGCTGTAAAATCCAGCTTCACTTGCAGCTAGAGACAGCTGCGTGGCAGCACTTTGGTCAGTAATATGGTACCAGGGCTTCTGGGTGGCCATCCAGCTCTCCAGCTTTCTCTTCCTTTTTGGGGATCTCGGCACCGTGCCAGAAAGGAAGTGGTAATCACATAGTCAGGAGGTAACAAGTGTGAGATTAAAAGTCATAACAAATCTGGGCATGGTAGAGCACTCCTTTCGTCCCAGCACGAGGAAGGCAGAGACAGGCAGATCTCTGTGAGTTCAAGGCCAGCCAGCTCTACCCAGTGAGTTAGGCAGGCTGAGCTGAAATGTACAGATTGTAGTCCCTGAGGATTTCTGTTGTAACCCTAGACTGCCTACTTCCAAATGCTTATTACATCAGAAAAGTCAAACTATCATTGTTGTTGTTATCCATGTCTACTTTGAACTTATGTAAGGAGCTATACAGATAGAGACATCACATTTAATTCCACCCTTTGCTATGTTGGGGTAAATTCTAACAAAATGTGATACTTAAGGTTTTTTCAGCCCCTAAAACCTGTGACTTTATAAGCAGAACCTAAAAAAAAGAAAACCAGAACCCTCAAATGATTTGGTGAAAAAGATACAGGATAAAATCTTCAGATCTGTTGAAGATCTGTTCTTCACAAAAGAAGCCAGTCCCACAGTATGTAAATTTTAAATGGCATCTTCTTATAACACTTCAGGACAATAAATGTGAATTAGAGTACATACCAATGCCTCATAAGATGCTACCTAGCACTGTTCCATTTTTAACATCACTGTGCTACGGCAGCACATGAAACACCAAAGAAAAAAATGGAAGCATCAAACTCTCATCTCTAGAGCTTTTCAGATGAACCCTCTTCTGTTTCTCAGAAAATCCAAATGGGCAAATCACCCACAGTGTCGTTCTTAGTCACTGAAACTCTTCTACATAAAAAGGAGTATTAAAAGACTTAGAGCCAAGGAGCACTGTAAAAAAGTCCTGAAGAATAAGTAAGGTCAAGGAAATGAAAGTACTTTGTTCTCTAGGAATGAGCAAGCGTCTCTAAGAATGAGCCTGAAACACGGGCTGGTGTGAGCAGTGGCTCAGGCTTTCACTAGTATGGCATCATAAAATGATGCGGCACACTGATTTTTATAAGCATTGTCATTACCACGACAGCTCCTGCACTCAGGACAAATAGCCAAGCTCCTAGCGCAGGAAAACCAAGTGTGCAGGTAATGCCACCTCCCCTCTGTTGTACCCAGTCACTCTTCACAATAATAGAGAAATAGAGAAAGCAAATGGTACTTATGAACAGCAATGGAGAAAGGGTCCCAACAGCAAGAGGACCAAATGCATAGAGGGTGAGCTCCAAGACCCACGGAGCTTTAACTTGTATTTTCTAGACACATTTAAAATGTGTCTGGTGGGCTGCGAGGGGCTCAGTTGGGTAGTGTCTGCTGCACATGCCTAAGACCTGATTTCAGTCCTCATCACTCACATGAAATCAAGGCACAGTAGTGTACATCTGTAATCCCAGGACTGGGGCAGCAGACAGGAGAAGCCCTGGGGCTTGCTGTCCAACCATCACAGCGTAATTGAGCATGTTCCAGAGTCAGCGAGAGACTGTCTCAAAAAATAACTGGAAAGCAATTGGGGAAGACGTCTGGCTTCCACATAATCCCATCATGCAAAGATGTACACACACACACACACACACACACACACACACACACACACTATAAGGAATTTTGCATATTTTCCATCTTGCATAGCAGGGCGCTAACCACTGTGTGTTTGGCATTCCTGAGTGCATATCAGAAAGCAGGTGGCAATGCCTTGGCATGGAGGGTATGGGATTCTGACCGTGGTGCTATTGAAGGGTGTGGACATTTCATATTGACGAGTAGTCAAGTTTCCATAGCAATGGCTCATTTTTGAAGCTTTAATAGATTCAGTTAGAAGGTTCCAATTAAACTAAAATGATGGTATAGTTCATAATAACGATAAATCATCATTTAATTTTGGGCTAAAATTCAACCAGTTCTCAACTGCCAACACTTGATTCTTTTCTCTCCTGGCAGTACTGGAGAAATATAAATTAACTCTCTAAGAATCTTCCACTGCATTACGAAGTTTCTTGTCAAGGGCAGTGCCCCCCCATCTGCTGCTCTGAGGGGCACATTCACACCTCTCTATGTCAAACTTTCATCCCTCACCACAAAATGAGACCACACTATGAGGAAGCTCACACCCTGATGACTAGCCTGTAAGGAATTTTGCATATTTTCCATCTTGCATAGCAAGGCGCTAACCACTGTGTGTTTGTCATTCCTGAGTGCATATCAGAAAGCAGGTGGCAATGCCTTGGCATGGAGGGTATGGGATTCTGACCGTGGTGCTATTGAAGGGTGTGGACATTTCATATTGACGAGTAGTCAAGTTTCCATAGCAATGGCTCATTTTTGAAGCTTTAATAGATTCAGTTAGAAGGTTCCAATTAAACTAAAATGATGGTATAGTTCATAATAATGATAAATCATCATTTAATTTTGGGCTAAAATTCAACCAGTTCTCAATTGCCAACACTTGATTCTTTTCTCTCCTGGCAGTACTGGAGAAATATAAATTAACTCTCTAAGAACCTTCCACTGTATTACGAAGTTTCTTGTAAGGCCAAATCAGCCTCTACAGAGATGGGCAAAAACAGCATAAATTAAATACTTAGAAATACCCAGGAATGTGTCTGTGAATGAAAGTTTAACTGGCACATTTTTCACAACTTCAGTTCTGTACATGTAGGTGTCTCTGGAGTTACAGGCAGATATCCAGAAAGTGAAGCAAACCAAACTACTTTGATTTCAGCTTCAGATTTGCAACTTTACCACAGAAGCCACCATTACCTTACAAACATAGTCTGTAAAGCTACACCTGCATATGCCATTTTTACCCCACAGAAGTTCCTTTCATTAATAACTCACGGGACATGAGGTACCTGACTACCGTGAAGGTCTGCCTTCCCGAGGTACTGGAAGATGTTCAGGTTACTCCTCCTCAGGATGCCAGAGCCAGAGTAAAGCATGTCAAGGCTGTATGTGGATGCTGCATGGGGACTACCTAGAGACAAAACAAGCATGGGACTCAGTAACAGTTCAGCGATGCTAATGAAACGGGGGAGCTCTTTAGTGGTCACCTACGTTCAATGTAGCCAGTATAGGCAGAAGAGGACCCGCTCTTAGAGAAACGGTCGTAATTGTGGGCAACCATCTCCTTGAGGACCCGGCGGATCATTTTGCTGCAACACAGAAGAGAAGACTTTTCAGTCACGGCAATGTCTGTTTCCCAAATCAAACTGGGAATGCAACCAAATCCTCAGTGTTAGAAAAAGAAGGCCACGTTTCCCTTCTGCCTCAAGACTGAAGGAAGTACCAGCCAGGCTTCAGAGCCAAGATGAGGGGTTTCCCCTTCATCCCCTCAGATATCAGAAACTTAGTTTGGTATCAAAAGGACAAAGGGTAAGGGTGCCCAGCTATGAGATGTCTTCAGCTGACCGGTAGACACTTTGGGCAGAAAGCTGTGCCAAACAGGAGGCTACACATATTTTCTCTACTTTGTCTACGCCTTCTAAAATCACCACTGGCAGATGATACAAAATAATAAATTTCCAGGATTGCTATCTGTATTTTCTACCACAGAAAAAGCTTAGCAAAGCCCTCAGGAGAACGATTCTCCCCTCTAAAGCACCTTCTGTCTCCCAGTGCACCAGGATCATGGGCTCACTGGACTTTTAGCCTAGAAGGGAAAATATCGTGTTCTCAGATATTCAGAGGGTTTTCAGGTGGAAGAACACTAGACACATTCTTCTGGGCTCCAGAGCAAAACCAGAGCCAGTACAACATCCGTGTATAGCAAGACACAAGAACGAAATCCCAATGGGGGTAGATTTGCTAAGTGGCATTGAACTTCCTGACACCGAGGGGAATCAAGTGGAGTCTGGTACCACTTATCAGAAAAACAAAGAATCAAAACCACCCCTACACTGGAAAGAGATACATACCAAGCAAGGTGGACCTTAACATCCCTTCCAGCTCTTAGGGTTTTGTTTCTGAGAATTTGGTGTAAATATTTGCAATGGCTTCTTTCCATTTCCCAGGCCGCTCTCTGCCACACTACCTCCTCTTTCCTGTCCCCAAACTACTAGGTTCACAGGGCAGAGGGACCAAAAGCTCCAGGGCCTCTTCCAAGGAGTGTCACAGAACAATAAAGAAACAGAAGAATGTGATCCATACGGGCCAGAATGGCCTGGCCTCCTTCCTGCACCTGCCCCACTCACCTCCCTCTGACTGCCCTGCTCCCGTTCCTTCCTACCCTACTGCTTGTCCCTCATCCTTCCTGCTTCTTGTTCCTCTTATTTTGATTTTCTTGTCCTTCTGCTTTTGCCCAACCTTAGTCCCGTGTCCCTTTTCTCTAAGGAATGCCACACTGGGCCATCCCAGGGGGAGGGGTTCCCTGTGTGCCTCAGCAGAGAAGAA